TGATACAAATAATACAACAGGAAAACGGTGGAAAAATGAAAGAAGTCAAGGTCATGAAAGGAGTGAAGCATTTACAGTGCACCTAGCTCTCCTCATTCCCAGCCTTTTAGCAATTCAATTTAGTACAACAGTCAGTTGCATTATCAACTGGAGTATCTATTCGGAGATAGAATCTAGACCAATCAAAATGCTTTGTGCCTCTAAACCATGTAAAAAAATATAGGGGTTACAGAAGGGCATGCCCCCCAGTTTTAACCCATAATTTGATATATTTTGCAGTTAAGTTTGAAATTTTCTTAGAAAATAACTGATTTGCAACAGTTTTAGTGGCTAGCCTCCTACAGATCTAGAATCTAATCTAGATCTAGATATATCAAATATAAGTGTGTGTTCTGTACAGCAAACAATACGCAGTTTGATCCCCCAAAGCAGTGCATCTGTGTGCGAGAGTGCGTCTCAGAATAGTTCTTGGGTGCTCGCCGGAGATGTCTCCGAATATCTTCTGATGCATAAGGGTAGACTCAGACCGGCGTCGGGCCCGACGGTCAGACCGGACCGTTTTTCGACACAAAAGAAAGAACGCCGGCAGAACAGTAAGGACAGGTAATAAAAAAACGGCAACCTGCCAACACCAAAACCCAATGTCCCAGACCAGATGGTTTAGCACGCCGTCCGCCAGGCGAAAGGAGGTTAATTTTCGTAGACCTTGCCTCTATAAATTCAGTCCCCCTTTCCCGCCACGTTTTGTTGGTTTTTGTCTTGAGAGTGTTTTACAGCGCTCGCAGCGACGAAAACAGACGACAGAACATGAGAGCAGGAAAGGAAGTAAAAGGAGAACAATTTAAAGAAGAAAATTTACCGTCGCTGTCAAGTTTCGAGCTTGGGACCTATTGAATGAGAGGCAAACAACGTAACCCTACATCACGAGTGACACAAGAGCCCAGGTTGATGCGAGTCAATTTATATGATAAAAATTATAAAAATTAAACCGACCTCCAACCCCCCCCCCCTCCCCACCTTTCCAAACCACAACAAGAACAATAACTTTCTCCTTCTGACCTGCCACATGCCATTTTCCTCTATTAAAATCAAACTGATGTCTGATCATCGGGTACCGGTGGCGGTATGGGCGCCACAGCCGGCAAACAATCATCTGGTCGGGTCTGACCGTCGGGCCCGACGCCGGTGTGGGTCTAGCCTAATAGGGGGTGCCCACATACGTGATCGGGTCAGGTCGGGCCCATCGTGTAGTCAGGGCTAGCCAAATTAAGGGCGCAAAGTGGTCATCGTGGCACAAACCAATCAACAAGATCGGTGACCTACAAAAACAAATGCGTTTCGTTTTCTGGCCTGCGAATCGCGCGATCGGGTGGTTTGCAGCCAATCACAACAAGGCCGAGTCATGTGTCCATTTTGACCCATGAATACATTAAGAAGGTACTTTGGGAATTCCCGGTTTCGGTCTCACGCCTTTGACCGTCTTCTCACTTCTCACAATGGGTTTGGAGCCCTCATCAGCCTTGAGGAAGGAGACGAATAAGAAGAAGGAGGAGCACTACAGAGGGAGGGTGGTGAGAGTGACAGGGAGGGAGAGAGATAAGTTGAGATATATATATATATATATATATGCAGAGCCCTAGATCTATATCTAGATCTAGCAATGTTTACATTGCTATATATCTAAATCTAGATCAAGGTCTCTGAATGGGAAGTGAGAAATAGACAAGAAAGGAGAGAGACACTAGGCTAAAGCAAGCAAGCAAGCACTCGCGCACACACACACACACAGAGACAGAGAGAGGGAGTGCGGGAGTGCAAAAGTATCGTAGGCCGTTTAAATAATATGTATTCATGGTTCAAAGGTTCAGTCGATCATAGCCCGGTTTACGCCCTCTGTGTAGTCGCATGATGTACGTTAAAGGTTTCTCTACTTTAACGTCCAGGTCGTCGGGTACAATTGTGGCGGGGTTGTAGTGCGCACTGAACCACAAGAAAGCGACCGGACCCGATCGCGTATGTGTGCACCCCCTATAAAGTGTCACATTTCATTCCTGTGTACAATACTGCAGTCGGTAGCAGTAATATTCCGTAATTTGATTGTGTAACGAAATAAATTTTGACTGAGCGGATAAACAGCCTTCACAAATGAGATTCATAAGGGTGGTTGCGGTTCATAATATATGCTACATTTACTTACAAAACGTAGTATGCGTTTGAACCTTTGGAAGCATGCCGAACACTTGTCTTCCAAAGCTGAAGGGAAAAACAGTAAGTGCTGGCTCGACCTCTAGCCAGTGAAGCCGCCATGATTCGGAGTGCAAGAAATGGGCATTGAGATTTCAGAGTAACGTCCCTTGCCCTACAAGCCGGTCACTACGACTTGTTCGCAGTTCGCACTTTCGCACTTAAAGGGTCATTCAATTATTATTATAAGACCCCTGTTGCGCTGGTAATTATAGCCTAGATCATATTTTTAATTTAATGGATAGAAGCCTAACACTGGTCAACACACATTCAACCACATTAGGTTTAAGTCTTGCTTTTGCTAATTTAAGGTCACTGATTTCAGAAGTGGAATTTGTTGGGGTTTTTTGCAATATACGTTAAGTTTTTGTTTCCTAAATTTTCAAGTTGATTTGACAAAATTCAGGATAGTTCAATATAAAACTTGCTTCAATGAATCAGAATTACAAAAGTCAAGTTGCATCGTTATAATATAGATGACTGTTCATTCTTAATCAGTAATTAGCCTATCAATAGTAGAGTTATATTACCAGGTAGGACTATGTCAGTATTTCAATATTGTGCTATAGGCCCTAGATTCTAGACGTAATAAAGCATAATTACAGTATCTCCCCATGTCGCTTGCAGGGACGGCTAGTGGTTTGTAGAAATGACCGGCTGTAATTTCCATCGGTACCCCCCCCCCCCCTTCAAAACCGCACTCATACAACTACACACACACACAAACACACACACACACACACACACACACACACACACAAACACACACACACACACACACACACACACACACACACACACATACATACATACATACATACACACACACACACACACACACACACACACACACACACACACACACACACACACATACATACATACATACATACATACATACATACATACATACATACATACATACATACATACATACATACATACATACATACATACATACATACATACATACCGCAGAGTAACCTCTTGGGAGGCGAGAGTCGTCCATGCGGTGAACGTGGCCGGCCCATCGGAGCTGAGAGCGCAGTAGGATAGCGTATTATGCTCTCCATCTTGGCCCGCTGTAGTACTTCAGTGTCTGGGACTCTGTCTTGCCACTTGATATGAAGCAGGGTCCTGAGGCATCTCATGTGGAAGGCATCGAGCTGCTTGACATGCCAGCTGTAGACTGTCCACGTTTCGCAGGCGCAAAGCAGGGATGGCAGAACTACTGCTTTATACGCTTTGAGCTTGGTGTTAAGGCTCAGTCCTCTTCGCTCCTAGACTTTGTCTTTCAGTCTACCGAAGGCTGAACTAGCTCTTGTAGTTCTGTTAGGTCACTTCCTCATCGATATTGGCCGAGCGAGAGAGGGTGCGGCCAAGGTAGACAAACTATCTGCAACTGTCAGTCTCTGGTCGTAGATGATACAATGGGGCTCTATGTAAGGATCCGATGGGGCTGGCTGGTACAGTACTTCGGTCTTTTTCCTGGAGATAATGAGGCCGAAATTTTCGCAGTCTTTAGAAAAACGGTCCAGGCTTCCGTGCATGTCTGACTGAGTACTGGCATCCAGCGCGCAGTCGTCCGCAAAGAGGAAATCGCGGGCTATGCCTGCATGGACTTTAGTCCTTGCCATCAGCCTCCGAAGGTTGAAGAGTTTTCCATCAGTGCGGTAACAAAAACCGACACCGATATCTCCGTCGTGGTAGGCGTCGGTCAGCATAGCTGAGAACATCATGCTGAACAGAGTGGGCGCCAGCAGGCAGCCCTGCTTCATTCCATTAATGACGGGGAAGGGCTGGGAGTACACGCCATCGTCCTGCACTCTTGCTGTCATGCCATCGTGGAATTGTTGGACCATCACGATGAACTTTGCGGGGCACCTGAACCTGTGCCATGATCTTCCACAGCCCTTCTCGGCAGACAGTGTCAAATGTTTTCGTCAGATCCACAAACGTGGAGTAGAGTCCAAGGTTCTTCTCTTAGCATTTCTCTTGTAGTTGACGAGCAGCGAAGATCATGTCCAAAGTACTGCATCCCACGAGGAATCCACACTGACTCTCAGGGAGCAGGTCGCGTTCCAGGTGTGCAACGAGGCGATTGAGCAGAATGCGAGCCAGGATCTTCCCAGCGATGGAGAGCAGGGCGATGCCTCGGTGGTTGTCGCAGGTGTTCCTGTTTCCTTTGCGCTTGTAAAGGTGGACAATTGAAGCGTCTTTGAGTTCCTGTGGCAGCTTTTCTTGTAACCACATGGCGGTAAACAGCCTTGTCAGTTTCTTTATTAGTGTCGGGCCTCCAAAGCGTAGATTTCAGCTGGAATGGAGTCGGCACCTGGTGCCTTGCCACTGGACAGACGTTTGATGACGAGCATTACTTCTTTTTCTGTTGGTGGGTCTGCCAAAGTGTTGCCGATTGGCACTTGTGGTAGTCTTTCAATGGCTTCACTGTTGATGGATGATGGTCTGTTAAGGACACTGTTGAAGTGTTGTGCCCAGCGCTCGAGGATTTTCTCCTTGTCTGTTATCAGCGTGCTCCCGTCTGCGCTGAGAAGAGGGGATTGCCCTGACGAGGTGGGTCCGTAGACGGCCTTGAGAGCGCTGAAGAAGTTCTCCATGTCCTTCCTGTCTGAGTAGACCTGGATGGCGTCGGCCTTCTCACTGAGCCATTTGTCTTGTAGTCGTCGGAGTTCGAACTGGACTCTCCTCCTGGCCATATTGCAGTTCTCTTTCTTTGAGATGGAGGAGGGGTCTTTGAGGAGTGCTCTGTGGAGTCGGTGCTTTTCCTCTAATATTGTCAGGACGTGGCAGCTGTTGTCGTCGAACCAATCTTTGTGCTTGCAGGTAGTGGGGCCAATGATGTCTAAGGCAACATCATAGACGGCGTCACGGAGACGTGCCCACTCTGTCTCCACATCAGCATGCGGGTCTATATCGCGTGGTTGTAGTTTTTTCTCTAGCTCTTCTACCAGCGCATGTTTGACAAGATCATTCTTGAGTTTGGAGACGTTCAGCCGCTTGGCCATTTTGATGCCTTGTGGCCTCCTGGGTGGTGTGATTCTGGGGCTCATCTTAGAGATGAGGAGACGATGGTCCGTCCAACATTCTGCACCGCATATGGTTTTTGTGACTCTCACATCCTGTCTGTCTCTTTTCCTGACGATGACGTAGTCGAGTAGATGCCAGTGCTTGGAGCGTGGGTGCATCCATGGCGTCTTGCTACGATTGGGCAGGCGGAAGACTGTGATGAAGAGATCGTGGCCTCGCAGGTTTCCAACAGGAAGAGTCCGCTGCTGTAGCAGTTGCCAACACCGTGTTTCCCTAACACTCCCTCCCACGACTTGTAGTCTCTGCCGACTCGAGCATTGAGGTCACCAAGGAAGATGAGTTTGTCTGCCCTGGGTACGGCTGTGATGGTCTTCTTTAGGTCCTCGTAGAATTTTCCTTTTACGTCGTCGGGTTGGTCATAGTGGGTGCGTAAGCGCTGATCGGCGTGGCGAATCTCTTCTTGGGGAGCGGGAGGCGGGCAGTCATCAGGTGATCGTTGATTCCCTTAGGGAGAGCTGCCAGCTCGTTGACTAGGTTGGACTTGATAGCAAAACCAACCCCTGCCTCGCGACGTTCGTCGGGTCCACGACCGATCCAGAAGAATGTGTAGCCGGCAGACTGCTCTGTGAGTTGTCCTTCCTCAGCGAGGCGAGTCTCACTGAGGGCGGCAATCTGTACTTTATATCGATCCAGTTCGCTGGCAATGAGGGCCGTCCGTCTTTCGGGACGGTTACTCCCTGAACGGTCAAGGAGGGTGCGCACATTCCGTGCGCCAAGGGTGATGGTCATTTTAGATTGTTTTGAGTTCTTCTTACCGCTGATGTAGGACCCCTGCCAGACGCGGCATGCTGGCCAAGGAAGGGTGAGACAGGCAATTTTTAGGACATCTTTTCTAGTCCCGTCCCCAGGCTGTGGGGGGAAGCAGTGCTATCCTGATGAGGGCTGCTTCGTCGCCCAGGTGGCTGCCGAGTTCCAGCGCTGTCTCATTCACTGAAAAGCGACCACAAGGCCTGGACCGCCTACGTGTAGAGTTGTGACTACGACTGCCAGTGTGTCCACACCTGTCGCTTGTCCATTCGTCCATCGCCGCAGGACTTGAGAAGTGATGAGGGTGATGATGGGAGTGGGGATGATGAAGTCATGACTTGCGCTTGAATTTGATTTAAGTGAGGGAGAGTACTAAGATTTAGTATTGGGTCCTCATACCCATCCCAGCGCGTCCCCAGGTGGTGGATAGGGGAAAGGCCTCCAGATATGGAGGGTAGCTGCAAAGCAGTCGCGAACCAAATGGGGATGGTCGTGGAGAGTAGAGGAGAACCCTGGTGGCACAGGTGCTTCAAGAAATACCTCACACACTCGAAGAAGGGACCATCTTGACGACGGGGGGCGCGATAAATTCTACCAAAGCCCCTACTGCCTTGTGGGTTGTCAGTGGATGACAAAGGCTAGCAGAGAAACTGTACACAAACCGGCAGTAGGCAACGGGAAACCACTGCTGTAATATCCCAAGAACAGTCATGGAAAAGTACATTCAGCAAAGGAATGAATGGAAAATCATGATCGCCGATGTCTGTCGCAGGTCTGGCACTGGATGATGATGATGATGAGGGAGAGTTGCGCAAAGTCGTCAGCCTCACTCTCTTGTCCCTGTCCATCTAGTTCCAGTGCAACGACGAAATTGAGACTGCCGGAGATGGGCTGGGATGCAGCGAGATGGCCAGCAGTGTAGGAAGGAGCCATGGAGTAGCAGTAGAAAGGTTGAAAAAAAAAAGTCATGAGCCCAGAGGAGGTGAGGGGGTAGGAGCAGAAAGTGGAGACAAAGGCAGACAATAAAACATTGTTAGAGAGCAGGCAAGAATATGAAAGAGTAGCTATCCGAATTCGAACCCGGGACCTATCGAATGAGAGGCAAACACCGTAACTTCTGGACCACGAGAAGCCCCGGAAAAGGAGTTGATAGAAGAAAAATGCACACGTTAAATCTGAGTTTCAAGACATTAATTGAAGCCACTGAAATAATATTGATA